AATTGAATAATTTGAAAAACTGATCTTACAGATTTATTTGTGATATACCAATTTGTAAATTATCTTTTTTAAGAAAATTAATTTAGTTTCCATAAGCTTTAAATTTAAATATTTAAAATTGTAGTACAATCCCTATAAAATTTTTAACATATCTGAAAAAAACGAAAATTTCTTTTATATAGGAAAAATTGTTTATTCACAGTTATGAGTTCGATACATTTGTCTTCGACACTCCCCGGGTTTACCAGTGACTAAACATTGAATAAAACTGTAATCCATATTGACTGAGTGCATTAATACTTTATGGAGCCTATGTGTACCTTCTCTCTCTCTCTCTCTCCCTCTCTTTTCTTATACTTACACGCGGTATAATTTTCTCAATACTACTCGGAGAATATCGTCACTATACATATATAATCGATTGCATGCTTTCACATTCACAAACTCTGTAAAACTTTGCTGCAATTGGAGGAAGCAAATTCTTGTTGCGTAGTAAAATAAATCTTTTATATATATTAAGATTATACGTTAGTCTAAATGATATACTTGTATCTTTTGTAAGTTTTTCTATGTGTTCTGCGGAATCCAATATGATGATTTGATGAATCAAACAAATATATTCTTTTTCTTTGTTCTGATAAATTATTTAGAATTGTCATTTTTGAAATGAAATCTTTGAGGTATTTTAGAGTATAAAATTCACTAATTGTGATCCTCGTATTATTTTTGATTTTGCGCTTTATATGAGAGGGAGCATCCAACTACTCCGTCGCAGATGCAATTTCATAATACGAAATGTGAAAGTATTAAATTAATGGACAGCGTGTATATATATAATTATTTACTTGAATTCACATAAGAAATAAGATTTTTCGATAATGTAATTCGTTACATGGCACTTTAAAAAATCGTGTTTAAATAATATGTTAAAATTTGCCTTTGCTGCTTCTGTGTTTCTTCGCCTTCTTATTCGCCATCTTTGCTTAAAGAAGACTCAACTAGCGAGCAGGGTCATGGCCGGACATCGTCTACGATAATACTCATGACTCCTACACCCACAGTTGCACACTACATCTGTTATTCGACTCTTTTCCCCCAAAGCACCCTCATAAAAGTACATTTTATTTCGCTAGAAATATAAATTATGGTATTTTATGTGTCTTTCTTGAATCGGTCAGATAGCTTGTGCATATGTATATATATATATATATATATATACATGTATATATGGACTCGCATTGAATTCATGCGCATGTTGCATGGTGCGCAATTCCGCAATAGAAATTCGCTTCGCGTTCTGATGATACAAACAATTTCTGCTATAATAACATTCTCTCTATTAAACTTTGCAATACAGCAAAGCCAATTCCAGTCTTTTACGTATTAATAGACAAACAACTACCCAAAAAAAAATTCTAAATAACTATCTATTGATCAATATATGTACTTTGTTCTATGTATTCAAAAAATAATAAAATTCCGAGACTTTTAAACATTATAACTTTGTTAATAAGTTTCAACTAATTTTAAAACATTTCTTGATTATTAAAACTTTCAAAATCGTTTTTTAATGATGCTTTACAGTGAAAAGGACAAAAAATTTTAAGTTACGTTTGTGATTTTTGGAGTAAAAATAATAAAAAATAATAAATAAATAAATAATAATAAAAACTACTAATGTTAAATTAAATTCAAACGGAAAAAAGGAATTACTTACAGATGATAACTGATGTTTGCTATCGGATCTATCAAAATTAATAACCACAGATAAATTTTTTTGCTATGAAAACACAGCTAAGGTCTCTTTCACCGTAAAGCGTAACATATATATATAAAAAAATTATTTTAATTTAAAACGCATAATATATGTTAGCTTAAAAGTTTTTCAAAGTCTATAAAACTATAGTTGGTTAAATTATAAAATCTATTTTTAGTTTTTTATTTAGTTTCAAGTTCTATCGTATTATTAAAATTTAACTAAAAAATAAAAGTTATTTTATGATTCAATGTTCCAAAAAATTCTTATGTTTCCTGATTTTCCAAACATGAAAAAAAAGTTTTAGATTAATATATTTTTACATCATTTTTATCATATACGCGCACTTTTTATGCACTACGCTTCTTAAAATTAAAATAGATTACGTTTTTTTAGATTCACACATAAAAGTGCTACTTTAACTTAAAAACAATATAATAAACCTTTTTCTTATAGACATTTTATCAAAAACATTGTCATGTTCGATATAAATAAACTATTTTGAATTATATATGCGATAGGCAAAAATTTTGTACACATTAAAAAATTTAAAAAAAGTGAATTTTCTATTTTCTAATAAACTGTCATATACCCAAGCAGCACGGTATATTCCCTGAATATCCGTTGAATACCACAGTGGAATATTCTCATGATCTTCTAGGAAAATCAAAATGTCCGCATCATGGGAATATTCCATAGTGACATTCAGCGTATATTCCAGTGACATTGAGGGAATATTCCTCGGTGACATTCATGGAATATTCCAGTGACATTAAAGGGATATTCAGGTGATATTGTGGAAATATTCCAGTGATATTGAGGGAATATTCCACGGTTACATTGAATTTTTTTTTAAAATGTGTTTTTAATCCTCCTGCTTATTCAAATAACAATAATTTATAACACATTTCTATTATTTCAACACTTAAAAAAAAATTCAATAAAACCGTGGAATATTCCCTCAATATCACTGGAATATTCTTTTAATATTACCCTCAATGTCAGTGGAATATACTCTGAATGTCACTGTGGAATATTCCCATGATGCGGAAATTTTGATTTTCCTGGAAGATCATGAGAATATTCCACGGTGGTATTCAAGGGATATTCAGGGGATATACCGTGCTGCTTGGGTAGTGACGTTTCAATAAAATACTAAATTACTAAAAAAAAATGATGAGCATAAAAGTAATTGTAATATCTTTTGAATAACTTTGAAAAATGAAATTTAAAATAATTAATAATTCTGCAATAAAGTTTACGTTTAACTTAAATTTAAATTATTAAATTCAAATTTTTATTTGGACTTATAAACAACCTTATTGATTCGCCTTATCTTCTGCAATTCATATTTTTTATAGTACCTATCGTCTAGATCATCTACAACGCAGTTAAAGTATATTATTCGATTGCATTATGATGTTTTTTACTTGAACCCTTAGTATAATTTAATGTATTTATACATTTTTTGGCATGAGGGTTCTTTGAAAAAAGAAGAAAATCTTTTCCTTTATTTCATACGTTTCGGTAACTGATGTGTGCCTTCGTCAGTGAATTTTTATTTTAGTATCTGTAATGATAAGTACAATGTAACTGTAGAGTATGGTGTTTAAAATGTAGATATTTTAATTTAGTTGTTAAAACATAAAATTAGTATAAAATATAAAATAAAATTAACGTAGAAGTTATAAATAATAGTTTTATTTAAAAAAATTTTTAATTAAATTTAACAAATTTTATAAATTGTAAAGTTGTATAATAATAATAAGAAAGATAAGATGAAAGCGAATAAATTTTACTTGTGAAGAGTAGTATCATATATATGTATAATGTGCTATAGAAATTATATCCAAAGAAGAATTTTCAAGCCAACAAATTTAACTTACAATCAAATGTTTGAAGAAAATTTAAGAATGTTGTAAATAGAAGTGATACTATTGAATTATACTATAAATTTACTCTAATTAACTGTAACACTGCACAACACAGACACTTTCAATATTTTACCCTTCCAAAATATTTATTACACTGAAAACCTATTATATATTTCATTATACTCAATTTTGAAAGTATTTTTTTAAAATTATTGCTATATATTCTACTTTATGCTCATAATGATCCTTGTGATTAAAAGCTGTATACTTTCTGCAAAAAAAAAAAAAATATTGAAAAAAAATTATAACTCTCTTGCTAACTTTCATGTGATTAATTACAAATTATTTTGTTGATAAATTATTGAATTTATATTTATTTACACTATTGTTGTTAAGAACAGCGTTACATGTGAAAAAGAATCGGCATAAACAAGCGCCTTTGTTCCTGTACACTTCACGGAAAAAAATAAGAAATGCAAAGTAACTCAATAATTCAAAAAAAACCGTTTATTTTTCCAAAAGAAATCATATTATTTTTAGTATTTTCCTAAATAAAGACTAAAAAAGTAAAAAAAAAAAAAAAAAAAGTATTGTTTTGTGCGGTAACAGCAAGTGTTGAGAGAGAGTATATTGTGTCGCCATTTGTGCCAAATCGGTCAAGTGGTTCTCCCGATGTGGACGCACTTCGCGAAAAAAAAACGATTTGGGGAAAAAAACTCAAAATGTTTTCGAATTGACACTAAAGTGAAATTGAAAAAAAAAATTCAAATACTAAAAAAGTAGTCATATATTTACTTCTATGTTGATAACACTCGTTAAATTGAAATAAAAAAAAAATTATTTACCAAACAGTTCCTTTTCATCGAAATAAAACAAAATCGATTTTTTTTTTTTTTTGTTGAAACCACACTGACCACAAAAGTGACTTTTTCTTTGATGAAGCACGCAACAACAATCACAACATACGCATAAGTATAACTTTGTACAAATCACTTCTTATTTAAAATTGACACTTCAATTTTTAATTTTGTTTTTCTTCTGGAGTATTAAGAAAATTTTTTACAATTTCTTATTTTGTCATGAGAGAGAATATTTAATCTTTTAACACCGTAGAAACATTTAGTGAGACAAATACTTATATTATTTCATTTTCCAATACAACGGAAAAATTATTTTGTTTCAGTTGGATAACAGCCTTCCTCATGGGATATCCGCATATCCTGAGGATATAATAAGGATATCCCAAAGTCCTAGGATATTCAAAATTAGTCCTCAGGATATTCCTGAGGATATAATAAGGATATCCCAAAGTCCTAGGATATTCAAAATATCAAACTGAAAAAAAAAATTCTAGCCTTATTTGTACTTACGATTTCTGGAAGGATGTTGGAAGCTCCTACTGCGAAGAACCTGTTGCAAAGCTCCGTACAGATCCAGCATAAGTTGTTCCAGCTGTTGCCCCTGAGTTTCAGCTTCATCTTCTGATGGCAATGCGAATGGTATGGCCATATTTGTGTTTAATAAAGTGGATCAATATTTTCAAGTTAAAAATCGAAAATGTCTTTTTGTAAATTTCACTTTTGATCTACCTTGAAGTAAAATTTCGTCTTGTCATGACAGTTGATTTAGGGTTTACTACTCCCCCAAATGAGAGACAGAGAACCTTGTTATGAAATTTTCTACCAGTTCTAGTGATCGGCGTCTGAAGCGTCGAGAGGGTGGATCCGTCAAATGGAATAAATTTCATGGAATAAATTTTCTTCCCTTGTCGCAATTCACTGCTCGATGTTAATTTTCATCACCCAAAAAAAAGAGGAAATGTTCCACACATATCACTGTCGAAAAATGCCAAGAGATGCAGTTCACTTGCGTAAATCACTGAATCGCGCACAATGTCTACAAAAGATAACCACTTTAAATGCACAAGCAAGACTCCAAGAGGAACCACAGTTTCGTTTTTTTTTTTTTTTTTTTATTATTATTTCATGAGACTATCAATTACACATTTGCAACAGATGAAACCGGAGATTCTCGACTGAGAATTGGAAACGCAAACGAAAAATACGTTTAATCTCCTCGAGGTTCAGTTTGGTAATAGATTCTACAGCTCAGTTGGATCTGGTTGTGCTCCCCACCGGAGAGAAATCAGAGTATTGCATGAGTGTGGAGGGGAGAAAAGCTGCGCGAGCATCAGACCATGCGGTACGCAGGAGGGGTTAGAGGGGACAATAACCGCATGTGTAAAAGTGGTGTGCGAGGGAGGGAAGAGGAGAGGGGGAGGGAGTTCTTTCGTATAGTGTGTGTGTAGAGGGGTAGGTTACAAGTCCTGGTTGTTGCAGCAACCAAACCAGACCAAACACACGTGCGCCGTGCGCTTCTCTACGAATGAAACAATCGTTTATGCTGTTTATGCACTAAGACAGACTACTACCAGTGATCGGTGCTTTACTGTCGAGGAGAAAAAAATAAGCGCTGCCACGCCGATCACACAAGTACCAACCAGTTTGTTCTCCATATAGTTATAACCGTGTGTGTTTATGTTCATGCACTCACTCAGGGCCTCATCCGAGAGAGAACGATACTGAACGATACCAGCGCATTCACCACTTACCACTACTCTTACTTAACTGTTATGCGTAGTTTCTACAACGAGTATATTTGCCTTCAGTTAAGTGCATCGAATGATCTAAGATCGATGACAATATTCATTTTTAATCAAACTTTCGCTTATGATTGTTAGCTCACGTGATTTTCTTCTAAAACACAAATAATTTAAAATTTCATAAACTTAATTTTATTTTTGTTCATTATTTTTCTGTCTCCAATATATTTATTTACGTAAAGTATTTCTGCAATAATATTGTACATTACATTTTGAAAAAATCAAAAAAGACAAATGACAACTCAACAATATCATTACAAAACCACAACAAAGATTTCAAAAAAAAATTTTACCAACGACCACATAAGTGAGAATGCTCAATTATGAAAAAAAGCAATGATCACTCTATAGGACAAATTTAACTCTAAAAGACAATTGACAACTCTTGGATATAAATGAAATAATCCACTGAGAACATTGACTTTATCATCACTATACCAAAAGACAAATGCCAACTTTGCAATGTAAATATACGTACGCGCACTAAAGACTTAAAACAAAAATTAACGACCGGTTTTCTGAAAACAACTATTAAGTTATTAATATTATTTATTAAAAATTCAAATCCTCAAAATAAGATTAACAAAATTATTTGATGTTTTAAACAGAAAATAAAAATGTTCAGTTCTTTTTTTTTTAGGGTATATATATTACTGGAAAAAAATGCAATAACTTTCTCTCTACTTGAAATATGGTACAGGAGCTTATTAATAACCCCTTATACGATTGAATAATCAACTGCAGGGAAAAAAAATTTCTGATGACTTGCATATGTATAACCCGCATTATTAACGAATGCGTAATTTCTGTACCCATCTAAAAAATATATATAATTTTAACCTTTATGTATCTTATATCTACGTATTTTCATCTACCCTAAGAAGCCAATCATGAGTATACGTTTATTAAAAATGACTTATATTAATTTTATACCTTTTCTGTATTTTGATACAAAAGTCATTGTATACAATTGAAGTATTTTTTGTTCATATAATATCAGTCTTAAAAAGTAACGTAGTGTTGTTAGTTTTATCTTAAGATTGTTTTCTTCTTCGCTACAGATTTTTTCTCCGAAGAGAATGGGAGGGAGCGGTTGTAACTATTTTTTCGGGTACGGTTGTAACACCACTTTACGCAGTACACATCACGGTTAATTTGTTTTCTAGGAAATTTCTAGGATCAATGTTTTCTATTTGCAAGAAAATTGTAAATTATAAAAAGTTATCAAAAATTAATAATAAAAACACTTTTTTATTTTTCTTAATTTTTCTGCCTTAATTTTTAATTATAACAAAAAAAACACCTATATTTGGAGTGAAAAGCCCTGTTCTTCAGCTTCAAAATGTAAAAAAAAATTATTAAAATCTGACCAAAAATAAAAAAGCTACAATATATTTCCTTCACAGCACAGGATATTTAAGGATATCCCTGGGATATAGTACACTGTAACAAATTTTTAGGAAATTTTTCCGACAAGTTCGGACAGCGCCGAAACACAATGGGTCGGAAATTTTTCCAGCGGAACAGATGGAATAATTTCCCAACACTGTTTGGAATTATTTCCAAATTTTTTAGGAAAAAATTCTAATCTTAATTGGATAATTTGCCCAGTTGTTTGGATAATTAACCGAAATTATTTGGAAATTCTTCCGAAGAGTTCGGACAGCGCCAAAACACAACGGGTTGGAAATAATTCCAGTGAAATAAACGGAATTATTTCCTAACTCTGTTTGCAATTTTTTCCAATCTCGTAGGAAAAAAGTCTTGGACATATTTCTATCTCACACTGGATTTATTTTCTAAGATTTGGATAAAAATCCATTTAAATTGTAAAACTCTCCCAATTTCAGGAAAAAATTTTAACTTACTAGAAGAAATTCCAACTTTTTGGAAAATATTCCTATTTCGGAATTATTTCCATTAAAGTGTTAGGAATAATCATTTTCCTTCCACTTTTGGAAATATTGCCGATTATTTTAATGGAAATGATTCCGAAATTTTTTACAGTGTAGGGAAATCAATTTGCTTTCGGCGGTTTGGACATCCCTAGGATATCCTGAAGATGTCCTAGGATATCCAAATTAATAAAATTTTTCCTTTATTGATAAAAAAATTAGGCAAATTTATATGTAGTTCCGCTGCGTGGAGAATACATATATGCACGGAGAAAACAGGGGTAAAAAAACAAAGTAAAAAATGATAGGGAGTTTGGTATAATTCTTTAACAGCATGGGAAAAATACTCGAATTCTATGAAAAAAGGAAATTTTGTATAAAAAAAGAGTAAGAAATTATATATGGAAATTAAAAATAACTATGCTTACATAGTAGAAACTCTAACTTTGAAAATTTACTTGACGTTGATATTAAAATTTGCGTTACACTTGGAGAAATTTAAAATACATGATGTGATTTTGTGCTTTTTAAATTTAACAATTTTAATTATACATACTTTCGTATAAAATGCGGTTTACAAACAATAAAATATTATAGAAAATAAAGTAAACAGTCCGAAATAAAGAGGAAAAAGTCAAATCCATAATGCTACAAAATGCATGTAGTTTAAACAATTATTTCCAGAGTAAGTAAATGAAGATTTGCAGTGCATTGCTTGAGAAAGTGCTTTGCAGCATCGGAATATTTGCTCGTCAGGTAGGTGCTTATCCCTCATGTTTTTGAAGTAAGTTTCCCTCGATAGATTAATTAACATGGCACCAGATTATGTTTTTATCCGTTTTTGTAATATTAAAAAAATAATTGAATTAACAATTTAACAACATTGATTTAATATCAGAAATGTGGAAAAATAATTTTATTAGTTTAATGAGGATTTTTTTAACATTTTAAAATTTAAATTAATTTAGAATATACTCATAATCACAGATATTCATATCTTTTCTATAAATTATTTAAATTACCCAAGCTAGACTTTATAAAATTTTTCCATCAATTTAAAAATTTCTTACCCAAAATTTCACTGAATCAAAATTAGTTGAAGCATATATTTATATTGATTAAAATTGTAACCAATCTAAATTTAAATTCATTCTATTTCTATAATTAACCAATAACCATCAATTCAATCAATTGAAAATTCAATTTATTTAAATTTGAATCTGTTTAAATTTAATTCATAAAAATTTCCATTTAATTACATTTTATTTCATTCAAAATTTAATAAATTCAAATTTCAATGTAATCTTAATTTTATGTTATTCAACTTTCAATCAATTCTACACGGTAGAAATTGAATTAACTACAATAAAAGGATATCATAAGGATATCATGACATGACACAGGATATCATGAAATTGTCTCCAGTATATTCTTGAATATCTTAAAAATATCCTTTGGATATCCAAACAGTCTCTATAAAGGATATTATTTGGATATCTTCACGACATCCTACGGATATTCTTAGTACATTTTACAGATATATTAGAAATTTTATCCAAGCATATTTTTATAACTTTCTTATGATATTTTTAGAGATTTCAAAAAATCAAGACGACATATTGATGTAATATAAACATTTTATTTTAAACAATGATTAAATAGAAACCCGCCAATTAGTAAAATATTATGGAAAAGTGTAGACAATATCTTTGTGATATCCTCAAGACATCCTATGGATATATTGATATCCTGAGGATTATCTAGGGATATCCTGGGTATAACCTTAGAATATCCAAAAATATCCTCAGGACATATTATAGATTTCCAGATGATATCCCAACCGCCGCACTACAGGATATCCTTTATATATCCTGCGAATATATCAGGATATTTTTAGGATAACCAGGGATATCCGGTGCTGTGAGGGGACGATAATATAAAAGTTTACTAAAAAAAATTTGCTTCATAAAATAAATTTGTGTTAGAGTTGCCAAAAAGTTATTTGAGACGTGTAAAAATATCTAAGAAAACAAGAATTAAAAACCAACAGCAAATTTATTCATTGTCTATATTAAAATGCAAAAAAAATTCGCTATCACTGTCTCCACAGTACCGGATATTCAACGATATTTCTGGGACATCATCAGGATATTTATTTTCTTGTGTCAGTTTGGATATCCTAGGGATATTTAAACCAGCGGAAGTAGATGGATATCTACTGGATATCTTTATTAATCAAAACAAATTTATTAATTAAAATTTTCATTAAATGCAAATTTAATCCATCGAAACTTAAAAATAACAAAATTGCAATCTACCTATCTGAAGAATAATTGATTTAGGTAATCTTTAAATTATTCAATTTTTAATTAATTTAAGTTTTAAATTATCTGAATTTTAATTGGTTTTAGTTTAAAATAATCAGAATTTTAATTTATTTATAAACTTCTCGCAATCTGTTTGGACAATAGAAGGGTTTTTCTGTATTAACTGAAAAAATTTTTACAACTTGTGAGAAAATATGTTTGTATATACTTAAAATACAAATATATAAATTTTTAATAGTATAAGAAA